GTTTTCTGTGACAGCCCTTCAGATAGCTGAGGCCCCAGTAGAAATCCTCCTTCCACCCGCAACAGCCCCGACTCCCACATTTCTCCCCTGTCACGGGGGTGTGGGGCGGGTGCCCCATGGAGGAGCTGGAGGGGACGCCAGGACCCCGCCCAGTGAGCCTCAGCAGGTGGGTTGGACAGGTGCGCACATGACTGCAGTGCAGGGGGTGAGTGGCAGAGGTAGGGGTCCAGGTTGGTGGGCTTTTCCAGAAATCCTAGGCTATCTGGTCATACATACCAGACATGGAAATGTGCATTTATCTTTCCCCACCGCCCGCTAAACAGGGCTGTAAGATGGTCCCACTCAAAAATGTAGGGAAGAGAGACCACTGGAGGAGCTGAGCACCTCTGGGGACCCATGCACTGTGGCCACCATTGTTTCTGTGCTTGGCTGAGGTCATAGGACTGCCATGAGCACCGGTGGCAAGTCCTGTAAGGGCCCACATGTGGGCCAGGTGTGGCAGGAACAAGCCTGCAGGTTCGTGTGCATTAATTCAAAATAGTACCACAGGCCGGGCGCTGTGGCTCACGCCTGTAATCCTAGCTCTTGGGAGGCCGAGGCGGGCGGATTGCTCAAGGTCAGTAGTTCAAAACCAGCCTGAGCAAGAGCGAGACCCCGTCTCTACTATAAATAGAAAGAAATTAATTGGCCAACTGATATATATATAAAAAATTAGCCGGGCATGGTGGCGCATGCCTGTAGTCCCAGCTACCTGGGAGGCTGAGGCAGAAGGATCACTCGAGCCCAGGAGTTTGAGGTTGCTGTGAGCTAGGCTGACGCCACGGCACTCACTCTAGCCTGGGCAACAAAGTGAGACTCTGTCTCAAAAAAAAAAAAAAAAAACAAAAAACAAAATAGTACCACATTCTCTTTCTTTCTCAACCTCATCCCTTTTTGCCTTGTGTCAAATTGGGAGGTCTTCTCCCATCCTGTATAATTGATCTTTTTTTTTTTTTTTTTTTTTTGGTGGAGAACTTAACCTTTATCCCAATTTAAATTTCCATCTCTTATTTTCAACTTGATCTTCATCTTTCTAGGCTATCTGTCTTTCTGAATCCGGATTCTGGGAGACGCTGGACTCAGTTGGTGGTAGGGTGGGCCAAATGTGCCAGTGGTTGGGGGACTAGAGCTTTGGGGGAGGGCCTCAGAAGACAGAGGCAGGCTGGGGGGGGACCAGCGGGGGACCTGAGGATTGTCCCATCCAGGATGGGCCTCGGAGCCTACGTAGGCAGAAGGGAGGAGCCGCCAGGAGGTGCCGGTGACAGAAGAGACAGCTAATGTGGGCACAAACATTCTGGGGCAGGAACTCATTTCTGTAAAAGATCCAGTGTCCTTAGCAAGAAGCCAAGGCAGGAACACGGCCCAGGCACATACCAGAAAAGGACCTGCCTTGGAGGGTGAGGGACCTGGTCATGAAGGTCCCTCCAGAGCAAGGCCACTGTGACGCAGAGCTTCTGTGCCTGTCATTCAGCTGACATCTGCTGTAGCCCTGCTGTGTGCCTGGAACGTGGTGAGCAGAGCTGGACAGAGCCCGCCTTCCCGGGGCAGTATGAGGGAGAGCAAGTACGTGATTACAGATGTGATCAACGGAGCGTGCATACCTGGGGATTTGACCCAGTCGGGAGAGGCTTCGCTGGGCACGGGAGCACTGAGTCGTGAGCAGTAGGATGAGCAAGGGTCCATGGATGATGGTGGGTTGGGGACATCCTTGTTTGTTCCTGGTCTGAGTGGTCAAGCACTCGCTTTTTTACCATTAACCACTTCGGTACGAGCATCGACTATAGTCGATAGCCACAGATGAAAGCACACAGCCAAGTGTCGACTTTAGCTGACAGCCGTGATGTGACTTTTCTAATTTGTCATTTATCAAAATAAAACTGTGAACATTTAAAAATAACGTAATAAAAACATGTACCTATATGTTACCTATTCTGATTTACATTACAAGTAAAGCTGCCTATAAAGGAAAAAACAAGCTTTCAGTGCTTTAAAGCTTTCCTCATCACACAAGAGCAAAACTGATTTGTCGTCAATGCACAGCACAAACTATTGTGTACACTATGAGTGCCGGCTGTGGGCAAGGTTTTGCAGCTGGTGAGCACCGTACCGAAGTGGTTAAGTATGGTGTTGGGTTAGCCGTAGGTTTTTGTAGGTGCTATTTATCAAGTTAAGGAAGTTCTCCTAGTTTGCTGAGAGTTTTTTTTTTTTTTTTTTTGAGACAGAGTCTCACTTTGTTGTCCAGGCTAGAGTGAGTGCCGTGGCGTCAGCCTAGCTCACAGCAACCTCAAACTCCTGGGCTCAAGCGATCCTTCTGCCTCAGCCTCCCGAGTAGCTGGGACTACAGGCATGCGCCACCATGCCCGGCTAATTTTTTTTATATATATATCAGTTGGCCAATTAATTTCTTTCTATTTATAGTAGAGACGGGGTCTCGCTCTTGCTCAGGCTGGTTTTGAACTCCTGATCTTGAGCAATCCGCCCGCCTTGGCCTCCCAAGAGCTAGGATTACAGGCGTGAGCCACAGCGCCCGGCCTTGCTGAGAGTTTTTATAATGAATGGATGTTGGATTCTGTCTGTATGTTTTCTCTATGAGCTGATTCTTTAGCCCATTGATGGGTAGAGTGCATGGTTGATTTTTTTGAATGCTGAAGCACCCTTGCACATTCAGAATAAATCCCACTTGGTCATGATGTAATTCTTTTTATACATTGCTGGATTTGGTTAACTAATATTTGGAGGATTTTTTCTTTTGAGACAGAGTCTCACTCTGTTGCCGGGGCTAGAGTGCCATGGCATCAGCCTACCTCACAGCAACCTCAAACTCCTGGGCTCAAGCAATCCTCCTGCCTCAGCCTCCCAAGTAGCTGGGACTACAGGCATATGCCACCATGCGCCACCATGCCCAGCTAATTTTTTTCTATATAAATTTTTAGTTGTCCAGCTAATTTCTTTCTATTTTTAGTAGAGACGGTGTCTTGCTCTTGCTCAGGCTGGTCTTGAACTCCTGAGCTCAAACGATCCACCCACCTCAGCCTCCCAGAGTGCTAGGATTACAGGCGTGAGCCACCAGGCCTGGCCTATTTGGAGGATTTTTACATCTAGTTTCAGGAGTTATACTGGCCTGTAGCTTTCTCTTTTTTCCTACTGTTTTGTCTGGTTTGGGTAATGAGTTCTTTTTTTGTAAAAGATTGTATAAAATCAATGTTATTCTTTAAATGTTTGATAGAATTCTTCAGTGAAACCATGGAGATTTCTTTTTTTAGGAGATTTTAAATTACAAATTCAGTTTCTTTAATGAGTATAGGATTATCCATCTTGGTAGTTTGTGGTTGTCAAGGAATTGGTCTGTTTCATCAAAGTTGCTAAATTTGTGAACGTGAAGCTCTTCATAGTCATCCCTTTATGGCCACAGGATCTAATATTATCCCATTTTATTCCTGATAAAGATGATTTGTGTCTTCTTTTCCTATCTTTGTCAGTCTTTCTAGAGGTTTATCAATTTCCTTGATGTTTTTCCCTAAGAGTTTGCTTTTTGTTTCATTGATTTCTCTGTTGCCAACCTGTTTTCAAGTTTATCAATTTCTGCTATTATTTTCTTCCTTCTGCTTGCTTTTGGTTTATCTTGCTCTTCTTTCTGGTTTCTTGAGATGGATTTTAAATCATTAATTTGAGATCGCTCCTGTTTTCTACTGCTCTCAGCACTGTGTTAGCTACATCTCTTGTATTTTGATATGTTATATTGTCATTCAGTTCTATGTATTTTAAAAATGTCCTTTAAGATTGAGAAGTATGTCATTTAATTTCCAAGTGTTTGGAGGTTGTCAATTTCTAGTTTTATTCCTTTATGGGTGGAAACCTGATTTCATTTCTTTAACATTTGTTGGGGTTTGGTCTACCAGGGTGAGTGAGTGGGACAAGATGGAGTGCTCTGCATGCATCAGACCCTGGTGGTTGCTGGTGTTAAGTTGTGTGTCCTTGTGGGGTTTCTGTCTAGTGGTTCTATCAATTATCAAGACTTCAATGAACTATTGAAGTCTCCAACTATAATTGTGGATTTGTCTATTTATCCTTTGGCTCTATCAATTTTTGCTTTAGGATTATTTTGTCTTCCTATAGATTGACATTTTTTTCTTTCTGTAATGTCCTTTTTTGTCTCCAGTAATTTTTTTCCTTCTAGAGTTTACCTCATCTGGTATTGTTATAGCCACACTTGGCTTTCTTTTGATTAATGTTTGTATGACAAATGTTTTCCCTCAACATCAGGAGCTGGGAAGAAGAAGAGTGCCAGCTAGCCCCACCTCTAATGACTTGCTCCACCCCCGGATGCCAGGTGGGGGGAGAGTGGAGTTCAGGTCCCCACTGGGCCCTGCTATGGGCAAGGGGAATCAGAGCATGGACTGTCCTGCCTCGTGTCACCTTCTGCATGGTGGATGCCAGGTGGGGTCAAGGCTTAGCTCCCCCTGGGACCCCATCAATACTGCCCTGGTGGGACAGTCAGAGCTCACCTCCCTGCTCAGCCCTACCAGTACCACCCGGTGCCTGGTAGGGGAAGAGGAGTGTGCCCCCTGCTTTTGTAGGGCAGGGGGTGGTATGGAAGATCAGCTCCCAGGGCGTCCCTGATGAAACTGTGGGGTGCAATTTTCCCATTTGTGTTTGGATTAAGTAGAGAAGGTGATGCTAGAAAGATCTTTCTGTTAGGTCACTATGAAGTTAGGGAATAGCTTCCAAGACTACTCTCACTGTGACTGACACCAGTAGCAAGTGCACGTGTCCCCAAGACCACCCTCGGGTTTGATGATTCGCTAGAAGGCACACAACTAACTCACGGAAAGCTGTTACATTTATGATTATGGTTTATTACAGGGAAGGGAGACAGATTAAAAGATTAAAATCAGCCCAGGGAAGAGTTACCATGCACGGGTGTAGCCACTAGGGGATCTCCACTGAGCCTCTGTTTTCAGGGTCTGCTGGGGTTCCACCACGTGGACATGCTAACTCTGCACATGGCTGACCTCCGTCCGGCCCAGGACCTCTGGAAGTTGAGCTGATACTGCATGGCCCAGAGCCCCCATCATAAAGCACACTGTTCACTCTCCAGCGTGGCTCAAAGACTCCAATCAGGTGGGGCACTCGAGGGCTTACAGGTCACCTCCCAGAAACCAGGGGCCAAGGCCAGACACCTCTTTGGGCAAGTCAGATTTTTACTACATGGCGCCTGCCCTTTGGCAAGGGGAGCAGGCACTTCTAGGAGATGTTTTGTCTGTGCCTATCGATGGTTTGGGGTCACAGGCTTCTCCAGCCCTGTCCTGTGCACACAGGAGACAAGGAACCCAAGGGAGCTCACTCCTTGAACCCCCAAGGTCCCTGGCCTGTCTGCAGTCTTCTTTCCACCTTCCAGGGTCTTCCTGAAGTGTGCTGTGTTCCACTAGAGTTTTGAGTTGCAGGAGGGAGGAGCTGGGAGGAGTAGGCCTCTCCATTTTGGGGGACTGGTAGTGAAGCAAGCTAGGGCACTACTCACCTCTGAGCCGGCCTTCCCACAACTCGGTCAGCTTTCTCCATCTGCATAACTGGCAGAGACAACGTCTTGTTTCCTGAGATGTCCCTGGCACTCAGCGAAGCCTTGGGACAGAACTGTGCTCAGTGTTTGCTGAGCGGGGCCAGGCATGTTCCACACTACCAGCATCCATGCTAACTGTCCACAGCCTCTATCACAGTTGTAAATGGCTGCATGTCTGCCAGCATCCGGCCTGCACTCTCCACCCTGGCCCCCTGAGCTGGCCTGGCTTGCTATATAGAGCCTGGGGACCTGCGGCTGTCAGGAGCTGTCACCCAGAACCCTCCGTCCCTGCTCTCCTGCCCCCTTCTGTTGTTGGGGATCAGGTGGCTGTCCCTGTCCTCAGTCGAGACACTGCTGCTGCTGTGTGTCCCCTGCAGGGGTGCTGATGGGCCCTTGGAGCCTGGAGGGCGTTCACGTGGGCCAGCCCCGCAGCCAGGCAGGCCCCGGTGCCCGCTCACCTCATGCCTTCTGCCCTTTCCACGTCAAGGGCGCAGATGAGGCAGGACTGTGCTGCCTCCTGGGTCACCCTGCACCTGCATCGTAGCTAGAGGCAGGGCCGTCTCACGTGTCTGTCTGGTCTGCGTGTGCCCTGGAGGACTGTGGGGGAGGGCTTCTTCAGGGCCTGGGTAACCTCGAGCTTTAGCCTCCTCGTTAGTTTCCCCATCGCTCCTCTTCACCAGGGTCCGCACCCCCTGTCGCACTGCCCCCTCCCTTTCAGCGTGCTGATGGGGTCTCGCTCCCCCTTGGTCACTCGTGCTTTGGACCAAGGGGCGGAGCCACTAATCAGGGCCTGGTAGGTGGGGCAGGGGGAGGGGTCTGGCGCACCAGCAAGCACCGGTCCCAAGGCCCTCTGCGTCCCCCAGGGATCGGAAAGTAAGAGTCAGAGAAGAGACGCTCACTGGTCTCAGTCTGTAATTCAGTCTGTTGTCGCCCCTCCAGGTTCCTCCAGCGCGATGTCCCATCTCTCCAGGAAGCTGCAGTGAGCGACCGCGAGGCCCTGGCCAGGCAGCATGGCCAGGCCCCGGCTCTTCCGGCTGTGGCTGGCGCTGGGGTCCGTCCTCATGATCCTGCTCATCATCGTGTACTGGGACAACGTGGGCACCGCCCACTTCTACCTGCACACGTCCTTATCCAGGCCGCACCCCACCCCCGGGCAGGGCGAGGACCCGGACGCGGAGGAGTTTCTGGACAAGCTGCTCGGCTCCGGGAAGCCTGTTGACCTTTCCGGGAGGAAGACGGAGCTGCCGCCTGCGGCGCCCAGCAGACCGGCGCAGAGCCGCCTGGAGGAGAGCGTGCGGGGCTACGACTGGTCCCCGCACGGCGCCCCGCAGAGCCCTGACCAGGGCCGGCAGCAGGCGGAGCGCAGGCGCGTGCTTCGGGCCTCCTGCGCCAACGCCAGCCTGGCCTTCCCCACCAAGGAGCGCTCGTTCGACGACATCCCCAACTACGAGCTGAACCACCTCATCGTGGACGACCGGCACGGCGTCATCTACTGCTACGTGCCCAAGGTGGCCTGCACCAACTGGAAGCGCGTGATGATCGTGCTGAGCGAGAGCCTGCTGGACCGCGGCGCGCCCTACCGCGACCCGCTGGACATCCCGCGCGAGCACGTGCACAACTCCAGCACGCACCTGACCTTCAACAAGTTCTGGCGCCGCTACGGCAGGTTCTCGCGCCACCTCATGAAGATCAAGCTGAAGAAGTACACCAAGTTCCTGTTCGTGCGCGACCCCTTCGTGCGCCTCATCTCGGCCTTCCGCAGCAAGTTCGAGCTGGAGAACGAGGAGTTCTACCGCAGGTTCGCCATGCCCATGCTGCGGCTGTACGCCAACCTCAGCAGCCCGCCCGCCTCGGTGGGCGAGGCCTTCGGCGCCGGCCTCCGCGTGTCCTTCGCCAACTTCATCCAGTACCTGCTGGACCCGCGCACCGAGCGCCTGGCGCCCTTCAACGAGCACTGGCGGCAGGTGTACCGCCTCTGCCACCCGTGCCAGATCGACTACGACTTCGTGGGCAAGCTGGAGACGCTGGACGAGGACGCGGCGCAGCTGCTGCGGCTGCTCAGGGTGGACGGGCGCCTGCGCTTCCCCCCGAGCTACCGGAACAGGACCGCCAGCAGCTGGGAGGAGGACTGGTTCGCCAAGATCCCCCTGGCCTGGCGGCAGCAGCTGTACAAACTCTACGAGGCCGACTTCGTTCTCTTCGGCTACCCCAAGCCCGAAAACCTCCTGCGAGACTGAGCGCGGGGGCGGCCCGTGCGCCGCTGTGCGCCCGCGGCTCCACACTCTGCGGTTTTTTACGTGACCTACGATTTTGCGACCTGGACATCTTGTTTACTCCACTGCCTCTATTCATTGAGTACTGTGTTGATATTTTTTTAAGATTAATATATTTCAGATATTTAATATGAAACGTGGGAGGAATCTCTGGAGTAAAGTGTCCCCGCTGCCTTGTCTCTGCTGGCGTGGTCATTCTGGTTGTGTGACGACACCCGCCGGGGGAGGGTCTGGGCCAGGAGCCCCTTAAAGGAAGGGGGTTCACGGCTGTCTTCTGGGGAAGGGAGGAGCCAGTTTGCAAGGAGGTCTGACCTTTTTCACACATGGTTAGCAGACAAATTCTTCAAAATTAAAAGTTCTAAGAAGTGATGTATTTGAAAAGGTAATGTCATTAGATCTTCAGGGCTTCCTATGTGAGAGTAAGTCCGAGAGGGCTGTACTTTGCAGTAGGAGCTATGAAAAGCAGGATTTCTAACTCCAGCTGCTCCTGGGTGTCTCCTCCCGATTGTGGCCATTAGGATTTGCAGTTGGCGGGAACACTGTGGATTGGCGTTTGTCACTGGGGTACAGTAGATGACATCCAGTGTCACTGAGAGGCTCTGCGGTGACTGTCATGGGCTGGCGGGTTGGGTTAGCTCACTGTTCTTGCCCCTGGGGACACGGCTGACCTTGAATCCTTGGGTTCGATGGGCCTTGCTTGGCTTGGTTACAGTGTCATGCTAGTGTGGGAGACTCTTTAAATATCTGGTCCAAGCTTTCATGGCCCTAGCTTTTGACCCATAATTGATGAGACAGTGGCAATTATCTCGTGGTGTCAGGCATCGTGCTTGACCTCGTCTTCCTCCTCTGCAGTGTTTGCTCACTGCTGCCTGGTCCGTGAACAGCTGGCAGTGCTCCCGCAGATGTCCTCAGCCCATGTCTGCTGTGTGTGGCATCTGCGTTTCCCAGCTCCAGGTGGGGCCTGGTGGCTCTGAGTGTCTTCAGACTGGGGTCTCCACTGTCAGAACAACCCATTTGTCTTTAAAAAAAAAACACACAGGGTCTCACTCTGTCACCCAGGCTGGAGTGCAGTGGCATCATCATAGCTCATTGCAGCCCCAAACTCCTGGGCTCAAGCGATCCTCCTGCCTCAGCCTCCTGAGTAGCTGGGACTACAGGTGCCACCACATCTGACTAGTTTTTCTATCTTTAGTAGAGCCAGGGTCTCACTATGTTGCCCAGGCTGGTCTAGAACCCTTGGGCTCAGTTTGCCTCCCAGAGTGCTGGGATTATAGACATGTGCCACTGTGCCTGGCCACCACCTTCCTTTTTGAAGCTCCCCTTTGTTTTAAATATCCAGCAGCAAAAATACTCAGCCTTGAGGAGTCCAGTGTTTAAATGATTTCTGGAGTCACCGTCATGTCAACATCTGCTGGGACCCTTCTCCATTCAGCAGTTGTCTCTGGTGCCAGGGATGCTGCATTGCATGGGCTGTTTGTTGTCACCGCCTCGACCAGGTGGCTGTGCCCTGGAGGAACACAAGGCGTCAGGTTGTGAGACAGGGCAGGAAACCTCCGCCTTGGGGCTGAACACTCCCAAGAACAGTGTTCAGAGGAGCGAGGGCTCCTGGAGAAGGTGGGCTTTGAGCTGGACCCGCAGGGGAGTGAGGCTTAGACATTCGAGGTAGAGCACACGAGGTCAGCAGAACCCAGATATGTTTGGCAAAGGCAGATGACGACTGCGTTTCCTGTTGGTGTCTCATGTCCTCTGAGACCTGTGTCATCAGCATCCTTTTCTCTAGTGAGGACACTGGATAGAGAGGTGAGGTGGAGCGAGGAGTCGAGTCCAGATCTCACTCCAGAGCCTGTGCACTCAACCACCCCCATCAGGGACGGGCCGTAGGCCCTGCCAGGGGAGAGCAGAGAGTGTGAAGTCCCCAGAGTCTCCCCGACCAGCAGGCCTGGAGCTGAGATTTTGCTTAGCAGGCAGCAGCGAGCCCCGGATGCTTTGGAGTAACCGAGGAATTTGGGTGCTTTGGGAAGATCAGTCTGGTGTCCGTGTGGAGTTGGGCAGCAGGGAGGCCCCAGAGGTAGGGGCCACACCTGAGTGGCCGTGGGTAGGGTAGGTGAAGGAGGCAGCAGGTGAACCCCAAGGTCACCCTGGAACTCAAGCCCTGGTGGCTGGCAGAGCTGGGGCCCATAAAAGCAACGGGGAGAGAAGCCACTTTCCCTTTGTCTCATTTTGTTCCAAAGAGCCGGGCTGGAGGCGTCCAGAGATCTCTCACCCTCGAAGTGATATTCTCCTGGGGCCGAAAGTCGAGTGCATCAGAGGCCCTTACAGGGCAGGTGCCACCTGTGTCCCTATCGTTGCCCTTCCCTGTGAGAAAAGTAGAAGCAGGAAGATGTCTGGAGAGTGTAACAATGACTTTTTCTGATCTAGTAACTTTTTTTCTCCCCCCAATTCAATTTTTTATTGTGATAAAATGCACATTACATATAATTTACCATAACTCTTTTGAGACGGGGTCTTGCTCTGTCACCCAGGATTCCAGGCGTGAGCCACCGCGCCCGGCCCATAACTGTCCTTAAGTGCACAGTTCTGGGGCATTAAGCACGTTCACACTGTTGTGCAGCCATCACCACCATCCATCTCCAGAACTTTCTCATCCTCTCAAACTGCAACTCTGTCCTCGTTAAACACTCCCTCTCTCTGCTCCAGCCCCTGGCACCCACCGTCCTTTCTGTCTCTGCGAATCCACCTGCTCCAGGTCCTCGTTTAAGTGGAATCATACGGTATCAGTCCTTCGGTGACTGGCCTATTTCACTGGACACGCTATCCTCAAGATCCATCCGTGCATCAGAAGTTCCTTTTCAAGGCTGAATAATATTCCACTGTGTGGATGGACCACATTTTATTCGTCTATCAGGCATTTGACACTTGGGTCGCTTCATGCTCTGGCTGTTGTGGCAAATGCTGCTTTGAACACAGTGTGCAAATGTCTCCGGGTCTTTGCTTTCAGTTTCTTGGGGTATGTACCTTTCAGAGTTTCTTGGGGTACGTACCTTGCCGAGTCACATCAGTTTGTAAACCGAGTCAGCGTGGAGACACACACAGAATGTGCTCAATTAGACCTCACTGGTACCTTCGTATTGCAAATAACACGTCACAGTTTTAGGGTGAGCTGAGAGCAATGTTATGGGAAAACAGTTGGTTTAGTTTCAAACCTCTTTTACTATGTATTTAAATACCTTGTGAATTTCAACCATGGGTTGAAACTTTGAGTAACCAATATTATTCAAAACAAACCATAATGTTTAAAGTACATAATGTGACAACTCTGAAATGCCTGTTCAGCCACCTGCCATGGGCTCTGTTGAGGTCCCTTGTCCTGGAACTCGTTCATTCAGGGGACGTGGAGATGAGTGTCAGAACTCACTGGGCCGTTCGTCTCCTCTCTCTCTGTTCCTTGTTCTTGGTGTGGGTCTGTCGTAGGTCAGTTTTCCTGAGTGTCAGGGGGTTGTGGGGAAATGGGGTGTGGGGGGTTCTTAAAGCAGGCACCAGCCACATAGACACACCCACCCAGAGTCCCCAGCCTGGCCGGGGCAGGACCCAGGATGTGCGGCAGAGAACTCCTGGGCTGGGGGGACAGCTCCAGGAGCGGGTGCCGAGGCAGAACTCACCTCCTCCGATTTGGTGCCAATTCCTCAATCCCCAGTGTCGTATCTTGTAGACAGATTTGGCTGTTTTCTTTTCTGCCAAAAAAAAAAACTATATGTTTAAGATGTGGTACCATACAATCAGAAAATCTAGCCAAAATAATCCAACAAACTTAAAAGTCTTCACACCTCTGTTCTTCTCTGCCCTCCAGCGTGCCCACGCGTCCACGCCGTGGTCCCAGAGCCTGGTGGTGGCACACAGTCCTCCCTCTGGTGTGATCGTAGCCACGAGGGCACCTGCCCATTCACGTCGGGGAAGGGACCCCGTGCGGGGGGCAGGAGCTGCTCCTGGACTCGCCTCCCAGCTTCGGGAGCCGCATTTCCCACCTCAGCCAGGAATTTAGCACAGGCGTGCTGGCGGGTGCGTGTTATGTCTTCGTTTCCCTCATAACAGAACGTCCTGTGTGTTTTCATGCACTGATCGCTGTCTCCACTTACGGCTTCTAATGAGCATTCAGGTGGAGTTCTACTGAGTTGCTTTCACCGTTTTCCTGGAATGCTTATTTCAACCACTTGAAGAATTTTGAGTTTGTCTTTGTCCCTGTGTCTTGATATAGAGGCCAAGGTTAGGATTTCACTTTCTCTTCCCAGTGAGGTCAGGGGCCGTCTGCGCGCAGAGCTGGGGCTTAACCCAGCCCCACCACCGAGAGGATCGGAGGACCGCAAGGTGGGCAGGGGGGCACTTTAGAAATGGGGAAAGGCAGAGGTGTGAGATCGTGGTTGTCTGGCCCGCCTGATCCGGTGGAACAAGCAGCCCAGCCCGGGCCACAAGGGCTGCGGGTCCCGTGGGCTTACCTGCAGGGTCCGCACTCAGACGGCGATGCCCCCTGCTTGGCTGCCGTGTGACAGTCACGGGTCTCCTTCCCCTTTGTCAGGTGCCTGGAGCTGTGCTGGCCTGCAGTGGGTGCGTGGTGACTGTCCATGAATGAACAAACGATGCCATCTGAACCTCATTCCAGCCCGTGAGCCAGGAGGGCTCTGTCCTGCTCCTCGTACATTCACTGTGGTGACAGGGGCTTGGCACACGTTCCCTCCAACCTCGGCACTAAGCACCACACTGCGGGGCATCTGGTGGCAGCGCCTGTTCCCATGGGGAGTCTGTTTTCCTCTCTCTCTTTTCTCTTCGCTTTTGACAGGCACGTTCCTTTCTCCGAGAGGCAGTAGGGACTGCTGTGTTCCGGGTCCCCCCCCACAGACCCTCCAGGAGGGACCTCTGCCTGCACCTGTCCACCCCCCACCGCACCCCCATCTCCTGCACCCAGGCAGGAGCCTGTGAGGACCCTGGTGGGGGTGGAACGTGAACACAGGGTGGCTTGGCCCTGGCTGGACTGCATTTGTGGGGGACCTCGCCCTGGACCAGCAGTGCTAGCCCTGGTTGTTTGGTATGGTGCCACGTGTTTCCCTGTAGCAGGACTTTGAGGACACACCAATGTCCCCACAGAGCCTGCTCCTGAAGAGTCTCTGAAATGAAGCTCGGTTTCCTGGTGGGGCCCTCTCGCCTCCGTGCGTCCTCACCCACGTGGGCGTGACACCCTTGGCAGAGAGCTGGGACGGTCTGTTCTCACCAGCGGCCCCACCCTGAACAACAACACGTTCCCAAATGTCACGGGGACTGCAGATCCCCCCAGGATGCAACAGCCGGTTGCCCAGGGGCGACACTTGCTCACGTGTTTACAAGCCGTGCCGCCCTCTGCCCACCCACACTGAGGCACCTAAGAACAGGGAAAGGTGAAACTTGGCTGGCACAGACACGATCACCCTAAAAATGTTCCGGTGTCTCTCCCGAAGGGGTGCTTCTGCACGACTTGGAGCAGACGTTTTGTTCCTTCGTCTGCACACTTCCTGCCTGTCCACAGGCCGTCTGTCCCTCCCTCCATCCCCCACAGCGCACGGGCCTAGGGTGGACGTACCCGAGTGGTGGCTCCGGTGGTTGACGCCGGTGCGGCTCTGCCCCAGCCTGGTCCCATGGGACCCAAGGCCCTTTACAGGGAGTCTCTGGGCAGCGTTTCCAGGCTGGAAGACGGAGGTCCAGCTGCTGTGACAAGCTCTGCCCCTCCTAGAAAAGCCGTCCCGAGACCAAGCCCTGCTCCTGGGGGAAGTGGGGCCCGGTGACGCCAGTACCTGAAGCCAGGTCCTCCTGCGTCTTCCAGGTGTGGAGACCAGTGAATTCCCACTTGCTTCAGCGAATTTGACTTGGATTTCTAGCATTTTATACACAGCATCTGAACATAGTAACACACTGGTGTTCGGTAATCGAGGTCAAAGAAGCTCCATCGAAGGGAGAGGCTGCCGCCCTCGGAGGGTGTCGGTCATCGTTCACGTGGGCACCAGCGACTTATCAGCGTTGTAAGATGTTAAAATGTTTTCTTGCTCTGCCAAGACCCAGCAAAAGGGGCAGAGATTCCCCACTGGGAAGCCAGTTCAAACCAGCAGAGAGACTAGCTGGAGAACATGGGATTTGTTTCCCCATAGGAATTTCTTCCTGCATTATCGGGAGGGAAGCTAAGGAGGAAGCGGCACCTGGTTTGAACTCACCCCCACGTTTGTCCTGGGTGCCGCTGATCCATGCCAAATGTCTTCCCCAGGCCCGTCTGGAGTGACCCCGCTGGCTGTCCTGGTGCCATCTGGAGAGCATTTGTTCACCGTGACGGCCTCATCACGCTCATGTGACCGGGACGAGGATCTGTTGACTTTCACGGTGACGAGTGGCATCTCCTGCCACGCTCGTTTGTAGCCTCGGGGTTTGAAGCTGGCAGGAAGCTGCCTGTGTGTGTGTGTTTGGAGGGTGGGTTTGAAAGTTCTAGCTCAGGGCTTTGGGGTAGCGTCTGACCCAAACTCAGAGCTAGAGAACCCACGAGCGTCTCGGTACTTTGGGGACAGGGCTCAGGTGCGAGCTGCACCGTGCAGGACTTTGGAGAGAGGAAGGCGTTCTCAGGTGGGAAGGAGGCAGCCCAGGCCGGGGTGGTCAGCCGCCAGCTCCTGGAGTCGTCCATGAGCTGGTTTGTGAACCGACTGTTTACACCCGCAGTTACCTTATCTCTGTGACGGGAGCACGTCTTCACACTAACAGAAAGGTGCCCACACCCAGAGCCCAGAATGACGTCCCCACTCACGTGCACCTGATAGGATGAGCTATTTGAGCAGAGGCCCGGAGATTGTGACACACTTCTGTGTCTCACTCTGGGTCTGTCTTGGGGTCGAGGAGGTGACAATATTTCTTGCACCGTCATCTAGACAGCCGTGTGAAGTGGCAACCTCATGTGCATCTAAATGCACTTTGAAATCCTTGGGAACAAAAAGTCAGGCGTTATCTATCCCTTTTCCTTCTCCAAGCACCATCCAAACATCGGCCTTGCTCAGCAGAGACGTGCCTCCCCGGGCGCCGGGCAATGTTCTGCGTATGATGTTTCAGGAGGTTCAAAGGGTGGCGGCCGCTGCTCCTTGAGTGCCTTGACCTCGGGTGGCAGAGGCCAGCCGGGCTCGTCCGGAGGATTCCCACGGGGCTCTGGGGGGTGGGGGGGAGGCCAGGTGAGAGGGTCCGAGCGTGTGGAGCCTTACTTGGCACAGGACGCAGGGCCAGCATCCGGGCCGCCCAGACGCAGAGGGCAGGACTGCTGCCCCCTTCCCGCCACAAGACCCAGGGAGCCGCATCCAGGGAACGGGACCAGCCAACAGTGACTTCCGTCCTCCGGTCTTCTGCCCCTACGCTGGCATCCACCTTTTAGGCTAATTGGCTCAGGAACCTTGAAAACGTTTTTGTTTTTTTTTTACCCAGTAAAATAAGAGTAAAGCCATTGTGGTTTGATTTGAGACAGGGTCTTGCTCTTTCGCTCAGGCTGGAGTGCAGTGATGTCATCGCAGCTCAGTCTACTGCAACCTCAGCCTCCCGAGTAGCTAGGACTACAGGCACGTGCCACCACACCTGGCTAAGTTTCCTTTATTTTTGAGAGAAACAGGATCTTGCTGTTGCTCAGGCTGGTCTCAAAGTCCCAAGTGATCCTCCCACTTCAGCTTCCCAGAGTGCTGGGATCACAGGTGTGAGCCACTGTACCTGGCCACGTGTTCTGTCATTGGATAGCTCAATGTCCTGCTTAGGAAAAAAAATTTCTCATGAGGAAAAAGGTGGCCTTGTAATTATGAATACATTTTCTTGGATGTATTAGGGAGGTGGTGATGGTTTCAATTGGTGTTCTTTTAAAAGTTATGGTGAAATACACATAATGTAAAATTTACCGTAAGTACATAGTTCAGCACTGAGCACATTTACACTGTTGTATAACCACCATCACCACCATCAATTTCCAGAAATATTTCATCCTCCTGAACTGAAACTCAGTCCCCATTAAACACTAACCCTGCATCTCCACTCTGCCAGCTGCCATTCTGCTGTCTCTATGGGTCTAACTGCCCTGGGGACCTCAAATAAGTGGCCTCATATAGGATTGAACCTTTGGTGACTGGCTGATTTTACTCAGCATAACGTCCTCAGGGTTCACCCATGTCGTAGCAGGTGTCAGAATTTCCCTCCTCCTAAGGCTCCCTTGTACGGATGGACCACACCTCGCTTAGCCATGCACCCATCGAAGGAAGGACACCTGGGCTGCTGCCACCTCTCAGCTGTTGTGAACGAAGCTGCTGTGAACACAGGCGTGCAAGCATCCGAGTCCCTGCTTCCGATTCTTTTGAGTATGTACCTAGGAATGGACTTGCTGGCTTGGATGGTAATTTGTGTTTAATTTTGTGACGTTTCTTTTTATTACCCAAATACTCACCCAGGATGACGTGTCAACGTAGCAGGCAGTAGGGGTTCCACAACCAAGCTCACGTCCTTAAACTTTCACACCAGTGCAGTGCTTCACACCTGCCCCTGGGCTGTGGTCGGATGTCCCCACGTGGTCCCTGCCCCGGTGGGCAGGTGCATGGTGTGGCGAGCGAGACGCCATTCTCGGATCCCAGGCCAGGGCAGCACCCGCAGGGTCCACTGGTGGCCTCATCTCTCGCCCAACGAGCCGTGGACTGTGTGTCTCCTCCAGAGAAAGTGGCACCTTCATGCCATGCCTGGGGGGAAGAGCCACTCCGGGCACCCATCCTGGGCGATGCTGGACGGGGAGCCCCCGGCACCTCGATCTCTGGCAGCACAGGGGTCACTCTGCTCTCAGAGGAGACAAGGCACTGGTCAGAGAGGAACAAGCGTTTCTGGCCTTGCTATGAACACACAAACCAGATGAAAAACTATCAGAAAAGCCATGTCCTTTGGCACCCATGGGCCTGCCTAGCCTGGAGTTTCCACATGCCACATGGTTCTGTCCCATGGCTCCACTGTGTCTGCCCCAGGAGCTAGGGTGGCAGCAGAAGGGAGTTGACAACACGCCCACCCCAGACCCAGGACACAGCCATGTGGGAGGGGCCTTATGGGGGGGCGACAGTGAGAAAGGAGCGAGATTGAAACAAGCCCAGGCGGGGGTAGGATTTCAAAGCACAAACCTCCGCGCTGTCCCCCACCTCGTTCCTGGGCCCCCACCTTTGCTCTGTGGCCTTCCAGCCAGCACCCGAGGCTAGACGGGCCCTCCTGGAAACCAGTGGGAAATGGGTCCAGAACGGGGTTCTCACGCGTGGGTTTCCTGCCACAGACGTTCAAGGGCCTGTGTGGGGAGAGATCTCGGGGTGCAGTGTGAAGGGAGCCCGTCAGGCAGAAATCCCAGACGCCCCCAGTCTGACGCGTGTCCCTACCCGGCAGGCCGGTGCTTCTGTGAACCCACTTCCATCAGCTGAGCTTCTTCCCAGGAAAATTCTAGTGGAAACTCTGGCTTTGATGAAACCTCCCTGTACTTCAAAGCAGTTTACAAAAAAATCAGGGGCTTAAAAAAACAATCTGGATGAAGCAGTTTTGCCATTCCACTTGGTTTTCTCCCAAAGCATCTTGTCTCTAGGAGGTTTCCAGAATATTTTGGTTTCAAAACTTCAGGGCAGAGTGGATTGGAAGTGTCGGGTTTCAAAGTAGGCTGGCTTTGAAAGTGGTCTGGGCTTCTAAAAAGGTTTGGTTGGAAAATGCTTTGGTTCTAAAATGTTCCAGAAACATCTCCCAGAGTCCAGAGCCTGGGCGGCACACTGGGAAGGGGGCCGGCTAGGGCGTCCTGGTGAGGGGACTCGGGAAGCAGGGCCCCCTGACATGGGAGGCTGGGCAGGGCTCGCCCTGGCTCAGGTCTGGCTCCAGGCAAACGTGTTTGCGGCTCCAGAGCCCAGTTCCTCTGGGCCTGTCTCTAGCAGCCCCCAAGGGGCATGCCGGAGAAGGGTGCCTGTCTGCTTGTGAGGCGGCTACTGTTCCCTTCCCGTGGGCCCCTCGGCCTGGCCTCCACCACACACCTGGGTGCCAGGGTCCCCGCCCACGGGTGCCAGCTCCAGGGAGAAAGCCAACTTGGGACGAGACACAGGGCTTCTTGCGGAAGGACGACTCACATCGGTGGTAACTCAGGGGTTTTATGGAAGGTTCTTTTAAAGTCATGGGCTGAGCCAGGAGGAACTGAATGGATTACCAGCCCTGTTTTCCAGAGGGGGGAAACTGAGGCCCAGGCTTCTGTGACCTACAGAGGCCACACTGCTGCTGAGAACTCAGGCTGCTGTCCCAAACCTTCGAGGGCACCAGTCGGGGCACTGCTGGCTGTTGAGGCCTCTGACCCTGGGACCTGCGTCCTTGCCCTACGGTCTCTGCACAGGCCGTGCCTGTTTTTTTTGCTTTTTGGGGGCTGTTAGTAACTTTATTTTCTATTAATAAAAATCCATCCTAGGCCGGGCGCTGTGGCTCACGCCTGTAATCCTAGCTCTTGGGAGGCCGAGGCGGGCGGATTGCTCAAGGTCAGGAGTTCAAAACCAGCCTGAGCAAGAGCAAGACCCCGTCTCTACTATAAATAGAAAGAAATTAATTGGCCAACTGATATATATATAAAAAATTAGCCGGGCATGGTGGCGCATGCCTGTAGTCCCAGCTACCTGGGAGGCTGAGGCAGTAGGATCACTCGAGCCCAGGAGTTTGAGGTTGCTGTGAGCTAGGCTGACGCCACGGCACTCACTCTAGCCTGGACAACAAAGCGAGACTCTGTCTCAAAAAAAAAAAAAAAAAAAAAAAAAAAAAAAAAATCCATCCTAGAATATATTTTCTTCTATGTCTCCACTTCTTTAAAAAGAAATAGGAACAAAGACGAAAGTTTATCTTGATACAGGTTTGCAACCAGTCAAGTTTAGCTTTTAAGAGTTGAGATCCACCAGGAGCAGCTCTGCACGTGGCCCGAGAAGCCCCGGCCTTGGCAGCACTGAACGCTGGCTCCCCTCATGTCGCCAGCCGGGGAGGGTATGAAGAGACGCGAGGATCACAGGCCCCAGCGGCCAGAGCCCACGCTGCCTCCCGAGCAGCCACTTGCCAGAGAGTGATGGCGGGAGAGCAGCCGTGGGCTTTGGGCATGATGGTCTCTCTCTTCAGGAGCTCTGGGGCCTCCTGGGGGGCTAGGGTGGGGGAGGCTGGAAGTGCAGGTCTTCCAGCATCTCAGAGCAACGAAGGTCACTACTTTCACAGACGTCCTGCTCGCTGATAGATGCTCACTGGCCTCAGCTCCAAGGCACAATGTCATGAGTGAAGGGTCCTGGCTGTCTGGTGTCCTGGCCCGGCTGTCAGGAGGAGTCAGCAGCAGGACCAGTCTGGGAGGGTGGGTGTAGGCTGACCTCAGTTGGACAAACAGGTGACAGCCAGCCACATGTCCTGGGGGTGTGAGCATGTCACAGAGTGCTGGCCAGGTTGGCAGAGAGGCGGGGCAAAGGGAATAGAGGAAAAACCTGGGCTCTCGGGAAACCTCCTCCGGCCAGGGCGTGGCCCAGACATTGGCCCCTTCGCAGCCGGGGCAGAGCCCACCCCCCAATAGCCAAGATGGCCTTGCCTAAAGTGTACCCATGAGCCATGGCCTGTCCCCCAGGGCCCACACACCTGGGCAGCACGCAGGGGCCTGGACATACCTGTCTCCGGCTTACAGTTCCTCTTCTGCCACGAGGGTGACAGTGTCTGAGGCCCACCCTGCTCAAACTGCAGCCCGTGAGCTCTGCTGTCCTGAGCGCCTGAGAGATGTCACTTCTAACACGGTGACACAGTAATCCCCGCTAGGGACAGAGCTCAAGGACATGATCAGAAAGAAGTCCCAGTGTAAGATACACCCAGTGAGGTGGTGGGCACATGGCCGCAGGCCCTCGTGTCCTATGTCCCTGCGGGGGCTTGAACAGGCCCAGGTACTCACTGCCGATGCTCTGGCACCTCTGCTCGGCAGGTCAGTCCTAGGTGGCCTTGGGTCGGTGTGGCCTGGTGCTGCGGTACAGGTGCCGGGTCTGGGTAGGACAGAGACCTCGGGTTACCCTGCAGGGAGAGCCCAGGAACACCGACTTTTTCTGAGTCCTTTGAGGCTTCTGGCCAATGGGCTCCAGCTGGTCCCGGGGAGGTTTGGGCAGTCTGGCGTGCTGCGGGCGAGGGGCCTGGCGCAGAGCAGGGGGAGCTGCCTCCCAGCGGCACTGCCGAGCCCTTTACCCTTGCTCTCCGCCGGGCCCTGGGGTGCTGTGCCAATGAGCCGCAAGGGCCTCTGATGTCACAGGGGTAGCTGACTGGGCCCCAGGGAGGCTCAATACAGTGGCAAACGCTGGGGCTGGCGCGGTGCTTTCCCAGGGAATCGGATGTGGGCGCTGGGGGCTGAGTAGGCACCCTCCAGTTCACGATCTTTCTGCTGTCATTGGAGCCACCTGGCCGGCTTCACGCATTCACGTTGCCCACCTGGGCCTGAAGGCAGGTGGGTCGGCCAACGCCGTAGCCCAGGACCAAACCAAAGTGCAGACGGGCTAGGCCTGCCAGGCAGTGCTGGTGCCCAGGCTGTCCCTGCGTGCAGGGAGTCAGGGGCCAAGGTGGGGAGAGGGGCAGCTTCCCGGTCCCACCTGGGCCCCTGGCCCCTCTGTGCAGAGACGACCCTGGGTCGCTGCCCTGCAGAAGCCTCTCCCTGGAGCGGGGTGCCGGCTCTCGTTCCTCCCCAGCACTGAGCTGCTTCAGAGGGACGCTGGGAAGGAACTGGTGGGGGTGGGGCCAGGGCGGGGCCTCTGAACAGGCACCTCCAGGCCCCGCTGGCATGGGAGGGGCTCTGCTGTGTGGCCATGGATGGGCACGAGACTGCACAGACACAGGGTGAACGTGTGGCTTCTTTGTTTCTAGTGACTCACTTGAATTTCCTCCTGCCCCAGCCTTCTGGGGACAGGAAGAAAACACCAAGCTCACACTCACACTCGGGGGCTGCAGCTGCTCCCAGCCTGCCCGGGTCCCTGCAGGCTGCCGCCATCCACCCCTGTGCCTCCTCCGTAGCATGGGTGGGGGCTGGTGACTGTGCAGTGGCTGGGCAAGGGACCTTGGGTGCACACGGTGGCCTCTGTCCCCAGCTGGCTCTGCTGTGTGGCTCTGTGTGGGTCAGTGGTGGCCAGTCTGGCCTTCGCCACCATGTGCTGGCACCCGCCGGCCACTGCTGGCTCCTGCACTGGGCAAGGGGGGGCAGGAGACCCCGGTATTAGCACCCAGCCCTCCGCTGAGGTGCTGGAGCTGCCCCGTGGGATCTGGAGGCTGCACGCTCCCAGCCAGGCGGGGGAGGCAGGACGTGGACCTTGGACTCTCCTGCCCTCTCATCCTCCACCTCCCACGCCCTCAGGTCTGCAAGGCCGGGCCGGACTTACCTCCTCTTCCTCCTGGCGTCAGAACCCTGCTTTCGGCACCACGGGTGTCGGGGCGGGAGTCTGCCCGCAGCTCTCGTGTGCTCTTGGCCGCAGAATGACCAGACACACCCGAGCGTAGAGTGCAGACTAGGATCCCGTCCTCTGACTCCTTTCTTGGAAAAATCACCAGCAAGGCCAAAACGACGGAGTCACCCTAGGCAGGAGCAGCTTGTTACTGTAGGCCAAGACGGTCCGTCCCTGCGAGTGGAGAGAGACTGACCCACTTACTCGCTTCCTTTCCTTTTATCACCCAGCCTGGAGGCGGGCTCGTGTTATCAAATGATCAACAGGTGTCCTCAAAATGCCATCTGGATATATGAGCTCCCTCTAAAAACAGCCACCTGTGGGGCTGAACCACAATGCAGGTTACCTAGATCATTTTCCAAATCTATCATGCCTGGGCTGGGGGGTTCCCAGATGGATAAAGCAGCCCCTCCTTCCCCGGGTGGAGCGACTGCTCAGGACAGGGCTAAGGCTGGCACTGGGGCAGCACCAAACGGAGTGCCCGCCTTATCCTTCCTTCCAGGCGGAGCAACTGCTCCAAACAGCACCAAAGCAGGGAGCCCTGTCCCGAGAAGAGCTGGAGATGCTACCTGTCTCCTTAACACTGGGAGAGACCTCCCTCCCAGGACCAGCCCTCGAGGCTCAGCCAAAGGGTGGGCTGGGTGACCTGTGCGGGTCCTCGTGCCAGGCTCCCTGTGGAGTCCACTGGAGAGAGCGGGGTTTGGGTCTCTGTCCCCTCCTGCACTCTGGGCATCAGTGCTGAACATGGGCTGCCCCACCCTGCGGTGCTCCGTGAGGCCGGCCCAGTGCAGACCACCCAGGTCAGGTCTGGGCCACAGATGGGTTTTGCTTGGTTTTCATTACATTGCAAAAGTCAGGATGTTTCATGTAACAGCCCAGGTCCCAGCTCCTCCCAGAAGAGCCCTCAGTGCTGGGTGCAGCAGCCGCGCCAGCAGGGCCACCCTCCACGTGGCCCTGGCCCCTCACACAGCCCATCTGACCCCACCTGCCTCCCCCCAAACCCCAAACCCAACTCCACAGGGGTGGAGGTGCTCCCAGGACAGCCTGAGGCCCTGGTGCTGGCGCAGTCGCTCTGCTGCTCTGTTCCGCCGCCAACAGCCCTGCACCTCAAGTCGCTCTCTTACGCAGATCATTCTGGAGCCCTCCAATCCCCGCAGCCCCTCGGCCACAGTCTCCAGGTGCAGGATGGGCTGAGATTGTCCAGTCTAACTCCTCTGCAGATGAGGCACAGGCTGAGACTGTCCTCGAGATGCCCGGCGCCCTGTCCCTGCTCACTTGCACACACCCAGAGTCCCAGCGTTTGGCCGGTCCCGTCCCACCGCCCGTCCTCACAGCAGGTCACGGTGGACGCCTGGGGCCCTAGCCCACTTTGAGAGCAGGCTGTGCCACCCACCCACGCGCCCTGTCCCAGGTGCCCATCATCATAGGAAACTCCCGCCAGGTCCGTGGCGCTGAGCCCAGAGGCCAGGCCTCCAGGGCTGGGGAAGGAGAATCCCCCTGCTCCTCCCAGCCTGGCCCTGCACTCCAGGCCCCCACAGGGCCAGCAGCATGGCCGTTTGGGCCTGGGACAGAGGGCTCACCCTCTGGGTTCCTGCAGTCAGATCTTGGGCTCCCCTCTCAGGGGCCACCGCTGCACTGTGGCACGAGGTCAGCGGGCAGGAGGCAGCTCTGGTGCTGCAGGAGGGCTTCATCCGAGCAGGCCTGTGTCCCCGCAGCCGGGGTCTGGCACGTGTCAGGGCTGTCATCACCAGACCTGGCTGCTGCGCTTCCCCTGTGTGGCGACACAGAGTGTCCGCTCAGTGGGTTTGGGCAATGAACACTGGACCTGGAGTCCAAGGTTCCTGTAGCCCTGGCTCAGCCCCCAGTGGCTCTGTGGTCTCATGGCAGGAGACTCCCAAGCCTCAACTTCTTCACCCACAAGCTGGCAATGATAACACCACCCAAATGCCCAGCGGGATGGCAGAGGGCAGGCTGGTTGCTTGGAGGGAATGTGGCTCGAACTCCTCTGGGGGTGGGGGGGACTCCCAGTGCCAGGTCTTGTTGGCCCGGAATGGCTCGACCCCCAAGGTGGCCAAACTCCCCTCCCGACTGGCATCGCGCCTGAGTCTGAGCGACAGAACTGGGCATGGGTCGATCTCGGGATCCTTGGCTCCACCTCCTCCAAAATGCCTCCCCTGGTTTCTCTCCCCATGCCCCTAATCCCTGCCAACTGCAGCCTCCTCTGACTTTTGGAAGGACCACCTGTGGCTTGTCTAACTCCCTCCCAGCCTCGTGGGCAGTTCCAGAACTCTCCTGGCCCAAGTTCTCGCTCCATCACTTACTTGCTGTTGCCTGATGAAAATCACTCCACCCTCTGGGCCCCCCGGGGAACAACGCAGCCATGGAGAGTTGTCACACAGGGCTGGAGCCAGGCCAGCTGGACACAGGTGGGCCCCCACACTGAGCTGTGATGGCCCAGGCAGGAGGCCGACACCAGGCCTTCCTGCTCCCCCAAGAATGAGCCCTGCCCGGGGCCCGGGTGTGCAGAGGCACGATGGCCCACAGGTTAAAGGTGACCCACTGTCCTCAGCTGGTGACTTTGATCCAAGCTTTGTGAAAAAGAACAAAAATCATGGAAAGCAGTACAGACAGGTCACAGAATAGAATAAAATTACTACGAATTTCTCAGATAAAACAAAGTTACAAGGACGTCTCTCCTTTTAGCGGGCGCTTTGTGTTAATAATGACAGAAAGGGCTGCCATAGATCAGGGGTCAGATATCGCCAGATGCCACTTGTTGAATCTTCCCAACAGCCCTCAGCTGCTTGTTTATTTAGAATTTCCTAGGCTGGGCTCACAACTGTAGCTCATGACTGTAAACCCAGCACCTTGGGAGCCCACGACGGGAGGATCACTTGAGGCCAAGAGTTCAAAACCAGCCTGAGCAACATAGTGAGACCACCCCATCTCTGCGAAAAAAAGTTTTAAAAACTTAGCTGATTGCAGTGATGTGCACCTGTAGTCCCAGCTACTCAGGAGGCTGAGGCAGGAGGATTGCTTGATGACAGCAGTTGGAGGCTGCAGTGAGCTGCGGATGACCCCACTGCACTCCAGGCCTAGGTGACAGAGCAAGACATTGCCTAAAAAAAAAAAATTCTGGAACCCACCTTAAAAAGTGAAAAGCAAGAAGTGAAATTAATAATATATTTGACCCAATACATCCGACACATTGTCATTTCAACTTGTAATTCCCATAGCGCGACGCCTGTCTTGGGTCTTGGCTCTCTGTCCCCGCAAGGGGTTCTTGCGGCGGTCTGGGACCGGCTGCATACGGAGTGTGTGAGCAGGGCCACTGTGCGAATGGCAGTCTCAGAGGGGCCAGCGGGGCTGAGCATCTCCACCAGGGGGCAGTCTCGGCTCAGGAACTCGCCTGCCGTGGCTGCCTCTCAGTGTGGCCGCACAGTGGGTAGCGGGTGGCAGCTGGTCAAAGCGTGTGCACTGGGCAGTTTGATGGCCCCGATGGGTCTGAGAGCCCTGAGACCACCTGGGGCCAGCACGCAGTCCCGAAGCCACCTGCCTGGTCCTCTGAGCAGCCCCTCTGTGGGGGGGTGCCCCGTCCTACAGGCGGGGCTCCGGACAGGCCACCCCTGGACACAGGAAGTGGCTGCTCAGGCCCCTGGACAGCTGGACCACGAGGGCACTCGGTGGTCTGGGGGCCCACGGTGGGGCTGGGGCCGGGTCACACAGCCTCTGCTGCCTTCACTTCTCCTGCCTCACGGCGATGCCCCCTGCGCCCCCAACACCAGAGCACAATGCCACCGGAGCTGTCGTCCAGCCAAGCGTTGTCCTGGAGGGGATATTCCGTCTCCCGCAGCCCCCAGGGCTGGGCCGGCTCACCCAGGCCAGGGTTCACACGGCTCCATCACTTACTTGCTGTTGGGGTCACTGCTCTGAGCCCCTTTTGGGGGACTCCAGGACATGAGTGGCTCGGGCTCTCCCAGGCCCCGAAGCCCCAGGGGTCTCCCCCCCGCCCCCGTCCCCCTGTGGCCTGGGCCCATCCCTTCGTCCCGTCCCCCATGGGTGGGGGTCATCCCCGAGGCAGTGGGTGCAAACGCACGACTGTGGTCCTGCACAACCCCCAGCACACAGGCCCGCTTGTGGCCATGGTGGCCCCAAGTGAGGGACGCTGGCGTCTCTTCCCACGAGTCGCCGGCTCTGCCTGTGCCTCTGACCCCAAAATCCTATTGTCACGCCCCATGGAGCTGGCAGCTGGACGCCCCGGAGGGAGAGCCCTTTGGTAAAGCAGAGAGTCCTTTGTCAGGAACAAAGGGCCCTCCCAGCGCCCTTGGGGGCCACGAGCTCCACTCAAGGAGTGTCTGTGGGTGTCCATCCACAGAGCCGGAGACTGGGGGGAATGAGATCAGCCTGACTCGTGTTCAGGGTCTGTCCGGGGCCTGCAGAGGGTACGGTGGGGGCAAGTGGGGCTGGAAGCAGGAGACATCTGAGCGCCGGTCAGGCATAGCCCTCCCTGGCTCCAGGCACCAGCAGGGCAGGGGCCCTGGACCAGCTCAGTCCTCAAACCTCACCTGGTGCTCCGAGCTGCTGGCAGCCTCCTAGCCCAGACCCGAGGACAGCCTGCAACTGGGACAACGAAGAGGAAAGCCCACAGCCAGTTCAGGACAGACGAGACCTCGACACCTGTCATCAATATCCACAGAGCAGCGAAGACCCGCTACAGCTGTGTAACACACACGTGTAACGCACACGTGTAACGCACACGTGTAACGCACACGTGTAACGCACACGTGTAACGCACACGTGTAACGCAGGGCTGGGGCCCTCAGAGGAGGACGGGGGGCTGGGGCTCACTGCACCCGGAGACACTCAGAACTGACCCTTGAGGCTCCTTTCTGCGCGGACCCCTGTCTGGAAGAGAAGCTGCGGGATGTGAAATATACCTGGGCAGGGCGGCCCTGGCCACAGCACACGTGGCTCCCTGCCCCCGGGTCAACCCTACGCCTTGTCACCGCCAATGATGGTAGCCCCTCTGTTGTCCCTGTCAGAAGCAGGCCACCCTGTGAACCTTGACCTCCACCTCCCATGTCATTCTGTGTGGGGCGCGGTGTCAACGCCATTACAAGTT